CTCCTAGCCTTCTTAAGAACAGCATCACCTCTTCGAAAGGTCTTCATCCAACGAACAGCTCTATCAAGAGTGCTCAGGTGCCCATCAATCCGTAACCACTGCTTAATGGCCTCCCAAACCTGCTTTGAGATTACACACCCAAAAAACAAATGATCAATGTCCTCAAGGGTATCCCCACAGAGGGTACACTCCATAGGCAGGCCCAGAAATTCCAAATTTGATTTAGTGGGCAGCCTCCTCCTAAATACTAGCCACATCGTAAAGGAGCATTTAGGAGGAATAGTCGAGTGCCAAATAAAAGCCATCCAAGGCTTGGGGTTGGCCTTCACCCTAAGCAAATCATACACCTTGCTCGGAACAAGGTTATCACCCTCACATACAGTCTGCATAGCCACTTCCATGGAGGAGTTATGGCTGCCAAGCTTCTGGACAAGAAGCTCTCGCACATAGGCAAGCCTTTTGAAGAGGACGGAGTATCTCTTCTTAGGCTGCCACTGCCAAATATCATCTTGTTTAATAAATATATTATTCACCCATTTGACCCATAGTGAGTCCTTCTTTGATGCAACATTCCAAAGGATCTTGCAAAGGAGGGCATTGTTCTAAGTCTCAGCATCTCTAAGACCCAAACCCCCCTCTGCTTTAGGTTTACAAATATCGGACCATGCCACTTTAGCAAATTTACTCCCCCAGAGGAAGTCCCGGCAAAGGGAAGTGATACGATCAAGGACATATTTCTGTACTGGGAATGCTTGTAGCCAGAATGATTGGACCCCTTGGATCACTGCCCTGATCAACTCAAGCTTACCTGCATAAGAAATCTTCAAGGTACCCCATTTAGATAAAAAGCCATCCACAGATTTGAAGAGAGGAGCATAATCATTCTCAGAGATTCTTTGTGAAGCCAGAGGAAGTCCCAAATATCTAACTGGGAGGTGTCCACGAGGAAAGGGGGCCAAATCCAGGATGTCTTGGCTAGCATCCCTAAGTCTCCCAGCGATAAATATATTGGACTTAGTAGGATTCAAGGTTAGACCAGAAACACTTGAAAAGTGTTCCAAGGAATGCATAAGGATCTGCACTGAGTGGAAGTCTGCCCGGGAGAAAAGCATAATATCATCTGCAAAAGCCAAATGTGTAATACCCAAGGAGGCACAATTTTTGTGGTAGGAAAACAGCCCCTCCTTAGCACAAGTGTTGAGTAATCTAGAGAGATACTCAATACAAAAAAGGAAAAGGGTTGGTGCCATAGGATCCCCTTGTCTCAGCCCACGTTTGCTCCTGAAAAAGCCATGACCTTCCCCATTAACCATAATAGAAGAGGAGGCAGAAGTCACACACTCCATAACGAAGGAAATGAAGGTAACTGGGAAGCCCAGGCCAAGCATCACCTCCTCAAGAAAGCTCCAAGAGACAGTGTCATAGGCTTTGGTGATATCCAGTTTAATCATGCAACTAGGTGTGGACCTCTTGATGGCATAATCTCTGATCAAATGTTGGGCCAGAAGGAGGTTGTCCACTAGTGATCTACCCTGGACAAAGGCCCCCTGTGCTGGATCAATGAGCTGTGGGAGAAGAGGAGCCATACGCCTAGCAAGGATTTTGGTAATCACTTTATAAAGGACGTTTAGACAAGAAATGGGTCTAAAGTCCTTCACAGTAGGGTTGTGAGTAGTTTTAGGAATCAAGACAATCATAGCATGACTTAACTGCTTAAGCAATTTACCAGTAGTGAAGAACTCCAAAATAGCTCCAAAGACGTCCTGACCCACAATTTCCCACTGGTTCTTGAAGAAGGCAGCAGTGTACCCATCAGGGCC